AAACAATCGTAACTTTTAAACGATACAACTACAAACGAAAGTAAAATCACTACAAATAACTACAAACGATTCTGAATCATATAGAACAAACGAAATTAAGAAATCTTGATAATTAACAAAGTTAACAGTTGGCGAACTGTTCACACGCAACTATTACGCAAACGGTACAACTACAAACAAAAGTAAATTCACTACAATTAACTACAAACGAAATACTATTATTTTCTGTATTGAAAAATCATTTTTTTTAAAGTGGGGTTCCAGGTTCACATAACTGGTTTTCTGATATCGTTCTGGTGTTCTTTGAGACGTGTGCACAAATGTCTTTTTGTCTGCCCAATAAACGTATAGCATAGCAATCTTTACATCTCTACGAACATAGTTGGGCCGAACATAATTCTTTTGATAATTACTTAAAAGTATTTCTGAAACGTTTCATCAAAATCATATATCATTGAAAGCTTTCCAAAAGATAACTTGGAAATTAATATTGAAATGTAACATTGAAATCATTCAGAAGTATTTCTGAAACGTTTCATCGAAATCATTTATGACCCTTTTCATTGAAATATTACAAAACATTTCAGAGAAATATGCAACGACGCCGCTAGGCGGCGCATAATAGTAAGACTAACTCGCAAGTAAATTTCAGTTGGGATCTAATATAAGCAGGCCTTCGGCGAAGCAAAATCATGACTATGATCAAGAATATATTTTACGAAGGACAGGAAATTGTTCCGGATGATCCTATACAGGGTGATCCGAAACAATTTGATATGAGAAAAAGTATCTGAAATATTTCCCGTATATTTTTGAAACATTTCAGAGATATTTTCGAAGCATTTCAGAGATATTTCTGAAGCATTTCAGAGATATTTATTAGGCATTTCAGAGGTATTTCTTAAGCATTTCAGAGATATTTCTTAAGCATTTCAGAAATATTTCTAAAGCATTTCAGAATTATTTCAGAAATATTTTTGAGATTTCAGAAACATTTCTGAAATCTCAGCTTGGCGGACATTTTAGCTTTCTGAAACATATCTGAAACATGTCTAAAATGTTTTTTTGAAAGGTTTCATATTTCATTGACAGTTTTTTTAAAGCTTTCTGAAATATTTTGATGCTGTGTGGGAAAGAATAAAAGAAACATTTACTTTATATCTTTTCGTAGGAAAAATATTTCCATTATAGGAATAAATGATCTAATTGTAATTTGATAATAAAAATATCAATGATTATAATTGCATAGTTGTAATTACGGTAAATATGCAGAATTTGCATATTTATTTTTTATTTGCAGAATTTGACGTTCGCGATCGTCATATGCGACAACTTCAATTAATGATTATAATTATAATTATGTCTATATTATATCTTTTTTTAATTTAATTTTTAATCTTTTTTATAATTATAATTATGTCTATTATATTATATCTTTTTTTTATTTAGAAAGTGCTCTACTAGCAGAAAATTGAAAAGAAGTTGAGCAAGTTATTAAAACTTGGCTGAGACGTGCAAAAGAAAGGGCAGGGAAAGAAGCAAAATAAAATAAAACATATTCTTTATTGTAAACATTTACATTTGCACATGCAATTTGTGAATTTATTTCATTTTTGCTCATTTTGAATCATTTTTGTTTTTAAACAATGCAAAAGTGTGAATTTGGAGTAAAATTTCTAGAAAATCTGAGAATTTTTTTACAAAATTTGAGTAAACATCTTTATTGAAATTTCAACATTAGTTTTTATAAATATTTTGTACAAACTGCTGTTTTCTTTAATTAATTTGCAATACGCGTGTGCAATACGTTTAACAATGTGCAGTGTATGTGTATGTGGATACATACATATATGTATATATTTTATATAATTTTTAAAATAAATATATTATTTTAAAATATTTATATATTTCATTGTTTTTACCCTTTTAATGTAAATTACAATTCTGGATGTTTCCTTTTATCATGTCCATAGGACGTCCATCGGATATCCTGGACATGTTTTAGGGATATAAGCATGTCCACTAATTTCACAATAGACGTCCGTAAAATGTCCAAAGGACGTTAAATGGAAGGCCTATGAACATTCTCAATATCCTTAAAGGACGTCTTATGGATGTCCTCGGATATCCGTGTGCTGTCTGGGCAAATAGGAGGGGAGCCCCTTCCCCCGCATAATAAAACTAATCAAACTCCCAGCGTGATAACTAATAACTGCTTGAATCAAGACGCTTGGTTATTCCGCACGATTGACCAGTCATTCCGCAGAATTGACCAGTCAATACTAAAACTGCCGCGGGCTTTGACCATAATATATTTTATAGATATATTTATTTAAAATTGAGAGAAACCCAAATAATGCATTATAAGTACATATATGTTTCAAATTCGCGCACTTTTTGCATGCGCGTGCGGCCACGGAGGATGCGCGGCGCATGTGCAGATCACGGAGCTGTGACAGAACACACAGTTTTTCGCCTTTTTTATCGAAACCTGATCCAACAAACATTTTAATTTGTTTATTCGGGTCCAACAAACGATTCCGCATTGATTGGATTGAACCCGTTTTGAAACAAAAACTGTAAAGAATTCTATATTTATCGGCTATATTAAAACACTAAAAATTATTTTCGTGTACATATAAAACCTATTAACTAACAAATGTTTAAATTAGTCTAACAATCACTTACAAACGACTAACAAACGATTCGTAAAGAAAAATGTTTTAAGTCGAAGTTGTCCGGCTAACTTCATTGAGGTTGTCCTGGGTTGTCCTAACTCAAGGAACTCTAGTACTCTAGTAGCAGCGAGTAGCAGTTTAGTAATTTCCTATAAAATTTCTAGGAAATTACTAAACTGCTGTTCACTGCTACAGCATTTTACTGTCCATGAAAACCCTCCATAACAGTGTCTAAACAGCCGAACAGCGTTGTGTTTGCGCTATAATTTTAGGTTATATAGGTTAGGGTTGACGCGGTACTTTCTCACACTTTTATGTTGAAATCAAGGTGAGAACGATCGAGCAACTTTAATAAATAATCGACGAGCCTTTTAATTTATCCCTTAATCTCTATTTTTTTCAGACAAGCAAAAGTGGTAATGGTATTGTGAGTGACATATGCAGGCATATGGGCACTTTTCCTTTCCGGACGATTGACGCATATACAGTAATTGTCACGCAATGGTTTGCTTACAATCTCTTTAGACTCAAGGCTTTATAACAAGACGGTGCGTTTCACAAATTTTTATTTTAAATTTTATAATTTTTTTTTACAATTCTTATTGTGTTAATCAGTGATGCTAACGAAATAAACTTTATTTAATAAAAATTGTTCGTTATTCTAAGAAAATGTTTGAAGCAAAAAGAATCAAATCTTACTTTAAAGAAGTTATTTGTGAAATTTTAAAAAAATAACGAAAGCAGTTATTTTGAGAATTATATATATTGAAACTATGATACATCTGTAATCACTACGTAGTTTTTTTAGAAAATTTTTTTGTATTAAAATTATCATAATTTCTAGTAATTTTTTAAACAGAAAAAATATGCAATGTGTCTTAAAAATTATTATAATGTATTTATGCATATTTTATACAAAGTAGAATATATTTGTTTCCTATTCCTGATTAAAACATTATTGAAAAATGTAGAAATAAGAATTTTTATTTTCTATATTATTGATAATATAGTATGAAATAAAATGAGACAAATATTTATAAATCTTTGTAAATTTTTTATTTTACTTTTTTGCCTTTTTTTTCATAGCAAGTTTTGTGTTGCTAAACATGTATTCTAATTTTTTTTAGAAATTTTTTTACTTTGGGAATATGACACGCTCACATGTAAAATACCAAATTGCTAGAGATGATGTTGATACATCCGAGTACTTGCCACAAAATGCTCCAGATTTCCAAAATGTGACGAAGCCAGAACCTACATTTTGGAGAATAGCATCCCACGTGTTTTCATTGATCTCCGCTTACTTTATTTTGTCGATAAGCCTTACATTTTATAATCCATGGCTTTACAATACATATGTGAGTAATTATATTGATAACCTAAAATGATAATTTTTTACATGTTTTGGTTAATATGAAGAAAAATGTATATATATATATCTAAAAATTTTTATTTATTTTGTTTTAAGAAAATGCAACTCATCCTTATGAGATTTTATTGTTTATATATACACACGCGCGCGCGCGCGCGCGCACACACACACACACACACACACACACACACACACACACAAATGTCCCATTTTAATCGATCACCTCCATAAACTTTTTTATTTGTGATTCTAGAAAGAAATGCTTTAGACGATAGTTGTTTGGTTTGAAGGAAAAAACATGATTCTTATGTGAGTTATGTCGTAGACGTCATCGTTTTCAAAAAATTTTAAAGACGACTAATTTCTTAAATTGGACTTGATTTATGTAGCGTTATATATAAAAAGCAAAATTTTTCCGTATTTATATATGATATCATATATGATTATATACGACCATATATCATTATACAGGCGATTAAAATATATGTAAATATATATAATCATATATGACCATATATAATCAATATATGTATATTGAAAAAGAAGTGTTAACTCCAATAAGAATAAAGTATTGATAAATTAAGTGTATATTTTTACAAAAGCTATAGAATCAAAAGTGAAGCGATTTATCCCATATTATAACTTGAAGCTGCTTGGCATGAGACGCTGCCGTGTCTTGATACCACTATTCGTCAAATTTTAAATACGAGAAACAAATTCTATCCGATGCCATCTATCGAATAATCCGAATTTACAACATTATAATGTTTCATATACAATTTGACATGATTATATATGCGTTCTTATAATTTATATATAAATTATATATAAAAGCATTTATCCACGTAAATTACATATATCCATATATAAACACAACAAATGTGCATTATATTTATTAAACTTTTAAATTCGGATTATTCAATAGATGGCATCCGATAGGATTTGAGATAAAAGTTATAGATATCGTCGAGACGTTTTCAAAACACTATATAATAAATCTCTCTTTCGTTAAAGATTACCTGAGATATTTTAAATTTTATCATGATATTTTTTAATATAAAATATGAAATATCTCGTAAAGTATTTACTTTTTCATTACTTTATTTTGACACTTTTGTACATAAAATATGAAAGGAAGCGAACAATAGAATTAATTTTTACATTTACAGTTTTACACAATTGAATGCGTTTACAAAATGCAATCAAACTTTTTAAAATAATTATTTCTGTTCTTTTTTTACAACAATTAGTTTATTTTTTTATTCTACGTATAAAAGTATCAATGTAAAGTCATTGAAAAGTGAATTAATACTTTACGAGATATTTCATATTTTATATTAAAAATATGACAATATTTAAAATATCTCAGGAAATTCTTATCGAAAGAGAGCTTTGTTATAGTGTTTTAAAAACGTCTCGACGAGATCTGCAACTTATCTCAAGGAAAAAATCAAGTTCCATTAAAAAAATTAGTCAAAATGTCTTGAAAATGACGACATATATTACACGACCCACATTAGAGAATCATATTTCCCTTTCAAACCTAACAACTTTCAGCTGAAGCATTTCTTTCTAGAATCACAAATAAAAAAATTTTTGGGGGTGATTGATTAAAATGAAACACCCTATGTATATATATATTGTGTGTATATATATATATATATATATATATATATATATATATATATATATATATATATATATATATATATGGCGCATTTCATGCCAAATCGACCTGGTTTGACCCTCGACCTCTCTGATTTGGTCCGCGATTTTTTATGTTATTGTTTCAACTCTAAAATGCACTCAGATTTTTTTTAAGAATTTTTTTAGATTTTCTTTATAAATATGATTTATTTATCGTTTTTAAAACTAATATATCGTTAGCCACAATTTAAAAATCTAAAAAAATTCTCAAAAATCCTATATCAGATATCAAAATTTTTAAGCCTTGATCCAAAATGGACCGATGTTCGCTCCTATTCTTTTTTTCGAGTTTTTTTTTAATTTTTTTCGAAAGAACGTTGAAAAAATTAGAAGCATAAGTCAGTCCACTGTAGGCTGTTGCTTGAAAATTTTTTTAAAGCGATTTTCCAAAATAAAAAAAATTGTATCGAAAAAATCTGAAAAAATTCTCAAAAATCCTGCGTTATATATAAAGATATTCAAGCAACAGCCTACAATGGACTGACTTATGCTTCTAATTTTTTCAACGTTTTTTTTCGAAAAAAATTCGAAAAAAGTTTGAAAAAGCTTAAAAAAGCTCGAAAAAAATAGAAGCGAACGCCGGCCTACTCTAGCTGGGTTAAAAATTTTGATATCTGATATAGGATTTTTGAGAATTTTTTCAGATTTTTAAATTGTGGCCAACGATATATTGGTTTAAAAAACTAGAAATAAATTAAATTTATAAAAAGAAATCTGAGTGTATTTTAGAGTTGGAACAATAACATAAAAAATCGCGGACCAAATCAGAGAGATCGAGGGTCAAACCCAGGTCAATTTGGCATGAAATATTCTATATATACATATATATATATATATATATATATATATATATATATACATATATATATATATATACATATATGGCTACGTACGATCGCTGGGCGTCCGCATCTCGCCACGCGCTTGCATTTGGCAGTAGGCCGAGCTAATATGGCGATTTTTTATCATTAATAACTCGTTAACTATTGCGAAAATTGCAAAATGGTACAGGATTTTTGGACTCGGTTTAATCCGCTCTATCTGTACACGAGCATTGTCCCAAATATTCTGGGACACACACACGTACGCACACACATACACGCACGCACGCACACATGTTTATATGTATGTATATTTATTTATTTACTTATTTATTTATTTATTTATTTATTTATTAACACAACTATTATACAATACTTTTAGGGATTTGATTTTCCACTTGGGGTTGTAGTTTGCCACTTGGTCATAAAATTTGCACTGTCCGCATTAATAAGATGCATTAGAAGATGTTACAATGGTAAACGGATAAATCTTCCATGGCAAAATATAATTTACTCAATAATGGTACCTGGCATAGCCAGCGGTGTCGATATTGGTTTATCAAATTGGGCACTTTCATTGATCTCGATATCTTTGTAAGTATTATAAATCTTAGAACAACTTAGGAAAACTTAGAAAATATTATATATTAAAATGTTAATGATTTATTACATATAGTTGTACGTGACATTTCTTTCTAGAGTCACTATGACTAAATCAACCACTATTATATTTATTCTTGGATTTTCTCTTCTATTCAAATTAGAGAAAAAGGTAAGACTGATTTTCAATGAAACTATGGTATTTATCAAGTATTTATTAAGCTTATACCTTTAGCAGGTAAGTAATAATTACTATTTATTGCAGTCGTGGTCTCTAGTAGGAATAGTGGCGATGATAGCAGGAGGATTAGCAATGTTTACTTATAAATCTACTCAATTTGGCATTCTTGGTTTTATATTGTGTCTCTTGGCATCATTCGCAAGTGGTATTCGATGGACTATGACACAACTCATTATGCAAAGATCCAAACTTGGTCTCCATGATCCAATAGACATGATGTATTATATGCAGCCTTGGATGCTGTTACCCGCAATGTCAGTGACTTTGTGGTTTGAAGGTAACTCTCTATTTTTACAACAGAATTTTAATAGAATTCTACAATTGATTAGACCTCATAAGTCACCCCAATGAAAAACAGTTCTTTTTTTTAACATTTTATGGTTTGTTGTAATATAATATCTTATTATAATTTCCAGTTTAAAAAATGTTTTAAATTTCAGGTGGCAGAATATACGACGGTATTAGAATCACCGATTGGGGCAATATCGGTAGCATTTTACTGACTACAGGTGCTGTAGTAGCAGGTGCCATTTTAGCATTTAGTATGGAAGTGATGGAATTCTTAGTTGTTACTTATACCTCTAGTCTGACATTGTCGATCTCGGGAATATTTAAGGTAAAATCACATTAATCTCAATTTTATTGGTTTTTTCCATATTGCAACACATGTCATGTTTATCTCTATTACAATCAATCTCTATTACAAACAATAATTTAAAAAAATGCAAGATTAGATTAGATAAAATTTAGATATTAAGAGATTATCAGATTAATATTACATAATTACACGTTTCTACAAACTTTATTAACAAAAACATGTCAAAAACGTTTCATAGATAATTTCATTTTTTTCTGATTTTTTATAGGAAATATGTACATTAGCGTTGGCCTTTGTGTTGAAAGGTGACCAAATGACTAGCCTTAACTTTGTAGGATTGTTAATGTGCCTTGGTGGTATAATACTTCACGTTATCCAGAAGGTATTGTTTAAAGGAAAGAAAGTAGTTGATAATATAGAATTACAATCGAAAATGGCAAGCAACAGTGCTAAACACGAAGAAGGAACTGATTCAAATGTGCCATTACTGACGGAAAAGTCGACGTCTTTAATGAATCTTCTTAACGCTGAATTTAGTTCAGATGAGGATGGTGATTTGAGGGAAGGTGATAACTCGACCCAAATATTATCAGATATTTTGCAACGCAGAGAACAGTGATACACTGTGAATTTTTAGACCTAATATGAGGAATTATTTTTTACTGAGGAGAACATTCCAAACAATGTATGTTATGACTTATAGCATTTTATATTTTTCCAATGTAAATTTTACAACCAATAATGAAGTTGTTGATATCAAATTTTACATCACAAAGGACTATGCCCACCCGGGAAAAAAAGATTATATATAATTATATATTAATATATATGATTATATGTGATTATGTATGAAAAATTTGGTTCTTTATATAAAATTATATATGGGTCCTCATATATGCACTCATGTATGGATACATACAAGATTCATATGGAAGTACATATAATCCTGATTATATATGATTATATCCCACACAGCATCGAAATATTTCAGAAAGCTTTCAAAAAACTGTCAATGAAATATGAAATCTTTCAAAAAAACATTTTAGACATGTTTCAGATATGTTTCAGAAAGCTAAAATGTCCGCCAAGCTGAGATTTCAGAAATGTTTCTGAAATCTCAGAAATATTTCTGAAATAATTCTGAAATGCTTTAGAAATATTTCTGAAATGCTTAAGAAATATCTCTGAAATGCTTAAGAAATACCTCTGAAATGCCTAATAAATGTCTCTGAAATGCTTCAGAAATATCTCTGAAATGCTTCGAAAATATCTTTGAAATGTTTCAAAAATATACGGGAAATATTTCAGATACTTTTTCTCATATCAAATTGTTTCGGATCACCCTGTATAGGATCATTTGGAACAATTTCCTGTCCTTCGTAAAACATATTCTTGATCATAATCATGATTTTGCTTCGCCGAAGGCCTGCTTATATTAGATCCCAACTGAAATTTACTTGCGAGTTAGTCTTACTATTATGCGCCGCCTAGCGGCGTTGTTGCATATTTTTCTAAAATGCTTCGTAATATTTCAGTGAAAAGGGTTACAAATGATTACGTACGAAATATTTTTTTAAAATGTTTCGTAATATTTCAGAAATATTTCAGTGAAAAGGGTCATAAATGATTTCGATGAAACGTTTCAGAAATACTTCTGAATGATTTTAATGTTACATTTTAATATTAATTGCCAAGTTATCTTTTGGAAAGCTTTCAGTGATATATGATTTTCATAAAACGTTTCAGAAATATTTCTGAATGATTTCAATTATACATTTCAATATTAATTTCCAAGTTATCTTTTGGAAAGCTTTCTGAAACAAGTTTTGCTGTGTGGGATATAATTTCATGTAGCGTTATATATAAAAAGCAAAATTTCTGTACATATATATGATATCATATATGATTATATATGATCATATATAATTATACAGGTGATTTAAATATATTTAAATATATATAAATGTTTCTTATACAATTTGACATAATTATATGTGGGTTCATATAATTTATATATAAATTATATATAAAAGGCATTTATCTATGTAGATTATATATGATTATATATAATCATATATAAACTTTAAATTCGGATTATCCAATAGATGGCATTCGATAGGATTCGTTTCTCGTATTTAAAATTTGACGAACAATGGTATAAAAACGGTATCAAGAGACACGGCACTATCTCACGTCAAGCAGTGCCAAGTTATAATACATGGAATAAATCATTTTACTTTTAATTCTACAGCTTTTAAAAAAATATACATCTTAATTTATCAATGCTTTAATATCGAAGTTAACAGTTCTTTTTTAATATATATTGACTATATATATGGTCATATATGATTATATATATATCTGTTTACATATATATAATACTAGCTGGTTACCCGGGCTTATTAACTGGCAATGTTTGGCGAAAATCTCCCGCTAAAACTACAATAGCTCCTCCCATTAACCGCTTATTTCCTCTTATATCTTGCAGAGTTCGATCAAGTGCTTCAAAAGCTCTCTTATGTGCCATAGTACACTCATCCCACACAATTACTTTGCACATTTTTAATACCTGTGCTTGTCCAGAATTCTTGCTAATATTACAAATTGGAGTTTCTGAGTTTGCAAGATTCAAAGGTAATTTTAATGCTGAATGTGCTGTTCTACCTCCATCCAATAATGTTGATGCAATTCCAGATGATGCTACTGCAAGACCAATTTTATTTTGCTTTCTTATTTCAGCAAGCAGCAAATTAATCATAAATGTTTTTCGTGTCCCTCCTGGTGCATCAATGAAAAAAATTCCACCTTTTCCATTTGTAATTTTATCTAGAATTGCATTATATGCCAATCTTTGATCATCAACCAAGAGTGGTTTATTATTTTCCACAAATTTTTCCAATTCATCAATATTGTAATTTTTTTCTCGCAAAATGTCCCTATTAAGTCCCTCATATCCACTTCGCATAGGTGCTTCTACTCCTAATTGATGTAAATTTTTTCCGTTTATTGATATACATTTATCTTCAATTAATATGAGAGCTTGATTAAATATTTCAGATGTAAAATTCAAATTTATGATGGAATTAACTCTGCGCGCTTCTCTTAGAATATCTTCACTCATGCTTTCTTTATATGTCTCCCACAGACCATTTGGATTTGAGGGCCCGCAAGTTGTTATTATAATTGCAAAAAGATTTCGTAGTTGACCTGGAAAGCATGTGAGAGAAGCTTCAAACAATGTTGTTTCCCAATGTTTATCATTCTCAAGTAAACCATGCTTTTGACACGCTTCTCTATATGTTTGACATACTTCTCCGTTGACAGTTTTCAATGATATAAAAGAAGTCGGTCCTCTGATTGTGTGAAGCAACAATCTCAGATAATAGCATTCAGCATTATTTGGGTGAATCGTATACACACGTCCTAAAGCTTCTGTTGCATACACATTATATCCTGGTACTCGCGCACCTTGTTTCCTCTTGCAGAACATTTTTTTACATGTATTCCAAGTATAATATTTTGGTACTTCTGAATATAACAATGTTCTCGCAAAAGAATCTTGTTGACACAAAAGAAAGAAGCCTGTCAATGTTGTATTTGATGGTTGCATTGATCTTTCTTTAGCGTTATTTTCCGTAAAATAAACTCGTTGTCCAATTTCTAGATGAACACTTAAATGGACAACAGTTGGATAACGATCGTGAATTGAGAAATTCAGAATACGCCAAACTGCTTCATTACTGCTGATATACTTCCCTATCTGATATTGTGTAATTTCATCTATTGTCGTTTTATCTTTTGCAAATCCAAAAACTGCCATATCACTGCCCTTATTAACATATTTACAAATGTATTTAATGGACTTTACTGAATTACAGTATTCAACGTTGATATGGGCTTGAAATATTTTTGAAAGCAAAGGAGTATAAGGTACAACCCATCTGTTATCTACCTCAATTTGACTATACTGGTTGTTTCTCTTAAATTTGATAACCGCAGAGTATCCTCCTTCTCCTGGTTTTCGTCTTCTATAAAGAGGGTAGCCATCATTTCCAGTTTGAGTTTCCTGTTTCAGTTCGCGAGGTTACTTTTTTGTACATTGTCCTTCCTTCATGCAAGGAGAATTACGATTCAGTGGTCCACACGGTCCATGAATCATATTTTTAATAATAATTTCAAAAAGTATAGGATCTTCCTCTGGATTCGGAAGCTCCGCCGAAATAACGCTATCAATTTGATTTGAACGAATTTTGTCGTTAAGCCATATTAAGATATGAGCATGTGGAAGGCCTCTTTTTTGCCACTCGATTGAGTACATCCAACAACAAATTTCCCCATAAATTTCACTTTTAGTTATTAAATACATTAATTTTGTTAATTTTTGCTTAAAAACTCTTGCTGTTAAATCATGCCGATCAGTTGATGCTTGACCATTAAAAAGCTCTTCTTTAATTTCAGACCAAGCTGGATTACATGTAAATGTAATAAAGAGATCAGGACGCCCATATGTTCTAACATATGTCATTGCATCTTGAGCATATTCATGCATATGTTTTGGACTTCCTGTAAATGTAGCCGGTAATATAACAATTTGTCCAATGTCTGCAACATTTCCATCATTTACGACAGCATCACGTAAATGAATATAATTATCCACTCAAAGTTTCTTTTGATTTAACCGAATATAAAGAAGACGTTCACTTTCAATTTTGGCGTACATATCAACAATAAATTGATGAAAAAGCTGACGACATTCTAAAATATGGTTGGCTAAACCAGGTCTTATCATTATTCGATATGCATAAAAATCCTTAGCACTTACTTTTTTATTCGTAGTTCTACCAGTGCTAGGATCAATTTGCATTATATTTAAGTGATATCCATCCTCACCTTGCCAAAATATTAATGGATACTGAAGAGCATCATATGATCTATGTGTTTCTGAAATACGTTGTAAAATTTCGCTCCTATGAATAATTATATCTCGCCTATCATATTCATTTCCAACTATTACAACTGCCACTTCATTAATAGTTGGAGCATTGAAACGACGTTCATGTTCACCAACTGGTCTCTTGTCTGCTCGTATTATAACTTTGTATTCATCCGTAGGCATTCTGTCCAATGCCGTTTTAAATATCTTTATTAAATTATTATTTTGATGCAATAATCTCTGCATTATTAAAACAATGTTTCGCCTTATTCCTGTAATGTTTTCACACCGTTGATCGACTTCTACTTGTTCATCACCCATAAAATAAATTTGTAAAAACTTCGGATTCTGATTAGGATAAGGAAGTATTGATCCTGCTCTGTGATAAATTTGGCCTTGCACTTTAAATGTAGGCATAAAGCCAGTTTCTCCAACTGTTACAGTTGCTCCAAAAAATGTCATCTGAAAGCATGAATTATATCTCCTTATGTTTTGTAAGAAATGTTTTGATTCTGACGTAATTCCTGACATAAACATAAAGAGTGTGTCGGGTGGCTGATTTAAAAACGGTAACTTAACTTTTCCATTTGAACAACACATTCCAGATGCTTCAGTTTTAAACTTTTTTGCTTGACAATAATCACATATTACATCCATTTTTCCAATTATTACTCTTGGATGAAATTGATATTCGTAATTTGGATCATAACTAAATGCCTCTAATTTCAAATCGGACCGCATAAATAATTTCCTTGATTGAACATGTTGTAACCGATCTTTTTCTACTCGAATTTCACGCTGTTGAGTCGTCTCCTCTGCCCTCGACTCGGCATTTCTTTTTCGATTTTCTTCAAGTCGGGCTTCAAGCTGTTGAGTCGTCTCCGCTGCCCTCGACTCGGCATTTCTTTTTCGATTTTCTTCAAGTCGGGCTTCAAGCTGTTGAGTCGTCTCCGCTGCCCTCGACTCGGCATTTCTTTTTCGATTTTCCTCAAGTCGGGCTTCAAGCTGTTGAGTCGTCTCCGCTGCCCTCGACTCGGCATTTCTTTTTCGATTTTCCTCAAGTCGGGCTTCAAGCTGTTGAGTCGTCTCCGCTGCCCTCGACTCGGCATTTCTTTTTCGATTTTCCTCAAGTCGGGCTTCAAGCTGTTGAGTCGTCTCCGCTGCCCTCGACTCGGCATTTCTTTTTCGATTTTTTTCAAGTCGGGCTTCACGCTGTTGAGTCGTTTCCGATGCCCTCGACTCGGCATTTCTTTTTCGATTTTCCTCAAGTCGGGCTTCACGCTGTTGAGTCGTCTCTGCTTCTCTTAATAATTTAATTTTCTTAGATTTTAAACTGATTTGTCCAATAGATTTTCTCTTTTTTGGAGGCATTCTAAAATTATTTTTTTAAGATTTTATTCTATAAGATATAATCCTTTAAGAGAGATAAAGTTGATAATTCAAATTTAAAAAAAAAATTGTTCCCTAAAAAATTATAATTACTTATCTATTTCAAAATATTACGTTGCTCGCTTGCGTGCTTTCCCTCACGTTCAATCGAACTTTCACAACAGGCATTACAAAAATATTGTAAGTATGTGTTATTTGCGAAAGACAACGTTTTACTTATCTATTTCTCTATTTTCAAATATTGCGTTGCTCGCTCACGTACTTTCCCTCACGTTCAATCGAACTTTCGCAACAGGCATTACAAAAAATATTGTAAGTATATGTTATTTACGGAAAACGACGTTTTACTTATCTATTTCAAAATATTACGTGCGTTGCTCGCTCGCGTGCTTTCCCTCACGTTCCCAATCTCCGCTCTTCCCGACTCTTCCGTACTCACAAAAATTATTAACACACACAAGTTCACAATTTAGAACCAATACAATTAATATTTGCAATTAATATCACTGACTCACATTTTAAAACGATTTTATTTCTGTTTCAATATCCTTATTGTAGACAAACATAAAGAGTGTTTATAGATTAAACATGTCGTAACCGGTCTTTTTCTACTCGAGTTTCACACTATTGAGTCATTTTCGCTTTTCCGATATTTCACTTACCGATCAGCGGCAATTCCGTCGTATACAATTCTTTGAGATTCACTCAATTATTTCCTAAAAAATTGGAAAAATTTTGTAATCGATTTCCAAAAAGATTGGTAACGAAAAATTATACAGTTTATAGCACTCTCCGGGAAATTCTACCCCTGTTTTACATACAATTCTTTAAAATTCGGTCAATATTTCCCGAAAAATGTGAAAAATTTCTGTGACAACGGTTTCTAACAAAATTTATGTGAGACAAAACGTCAATTCGTAACGGTATTCACTGAATACTATTTCTTATTTGAATTTAATTTTAATCTCAAATCGAACTTTCACAACAGGCATAACTGTTACAATTAATATTTGCAATTAATATCACTGACTCACATTTTAAAACTGATTATATTTGCAATTTCAATACTGCTCGCGTTATGTTTGTTTGACTTGAAGTTTCAGCTTTGTAACAAACTTAAACGCAACGAAATTCGTGCGAGACAAAACGTCAATTCGTAACGGTATTTACTGAATACTATTTCTTATTTGAATTTAATTTCAATCTGAAATCGAACTTTCACAACAGGCATTACAAAAAATATTGTAAATATGTGGTATTTGCGGAAGACAACGTTTTATATATAATTCTTTAAGATTTGGTCAATTATTTCCCGAAAAATTGAAAAAATTTCGGATACCGGTTTCCAAAAAGATCGGTAACGAAAAACTAATACACTTTATAACACTTCCCCCAAAAAATTCGACCCCTATTTTATACTTTTATCGGTCAATTATTTCCCAAAAAATTGAAAAAATTTCTGATACCGGTTTCCCAAAAAATCGGTAACGAAAAATTATACACTTTATGGCACTCCCCGAGAAATTCTACCCCTGATTCATATACAGTTCTTTAAAATTCGGTCAATAATTTCCCGAAAAATTGAAAAAATTTCGGATACCGGTTCCCAAAAAGATCGGTAACGAAAAACTATACACTCTATAACACTCTCCGGAAAATTCTACCCCTATTTTATATACTTTTGGTAAAAATTCGATCAAATAGTTTAAGAGTGTATAAAGAACATACATACATACATACATACATACATACAGACATTCTATTTTATATATATAGATATCTATTTATATATAATTAGATAAAATTGTATATAAATATTTTTTCCCGGGTAGCTTTGTTCGTTTGACTTGAATGCTCGCGTTATGTTCGTTTGACTTGAAGTTTCAGCTTTGTTTCACCCTGTATATAGATTATTATATATGTTCATATATGATTTTATATATAATTATATATAATTATATATAATTATATATGATCATATAGAAACAAAATTCATATATAATTGCATTATATATAATCATATATATTTATATATAATTATATATATATAATCTTTTTTTTCCCCGGGCAGTTTCTTACGGAAGTTGGGCCCCCGACGAACAGATTGGGCCATGGCTAAAATTGTAGGGCATCAAAAGAGGATTAAAACATTCCATGGGCATAACAATGTAAAATAAATCCCCTGAGTGCTAGAGTTCTTCGAAAATCGTTATTATGACCATGTATCACTGGTCTTCCAATTTCTCTGCGTCCAGGGGACATTTTCCCTGTGCGATGACGGCGGTAGAAGATTGAACCAAAGACATTGAAATAATGTCTGGAATGTATTTGGTACAGTATTAACGCGGCTAACAAGGGAACGTTTGGAACTATCCCTCTTCGATTTTGATGTGCTTTGGATATGGTTGTAGAATAGTATATGTTGTAACGAAAAATAACAGATACGTATTTTTTTATCTGCTTCGAAGCTTGTTTAGAGGTTGAAACAACCCTTCGAAAGAAATTTCATATATTTGATTACGAATGAATCCCTGAAACCGTGCGGTATATGAAAAAATATTTTAGACAAAGAGGTTAATCTCTATAATCGTGTATGTATTTAGATTTTTGTAAAAAGTTATATTTTTGCAAAAATAACACTAAAGAGTAGGAGTTAAAATATGTTTAAAAATGACAAAAAAATCTAAACACGAATACAGAGATTACTTAATACCGCAACTGTTTTGTCTAAAACATTTGTCCATATACCTCACAGTTTCAAAGATATTCACTCGTAATCAAATATATGGAATTTCTTTCGAGAGGTTATTTCAACTTCACAATATGCTTCGAAGTCGATAAAAGAAAAACGTGTCTGTTATTTTTCTCTATTCTACAACATATCTAAAACCTAAAACCCATCAAAATCGGTGAAGAACAGTTCCAAACGTTTCCTTGTAAGTCCCTGAACGCGATTTGTGCCGTTATGTCAGAGAAGTTAGGATTTGGATGTCATACGGTTGGGTGTTGTGCGCATATGATGACAGTCGTATGATATTTGAGATATGCCTAATTCCTTTGATAAAGACATCCATGCGTCAGCAACAGCAGTCAGCGATATTTTTGTATAATTAGAGAGCTCTGCTGAGGAAGAGGAACCTGAAGAGGGATAAGGTTCGACGATCGCCAGACTTCAATTAGGCAATTAAAACTTGGTTTCGTACTTTGTGAGTACCCTCCTATTGATCAGTATATGACTCCATGACTCGGGGCCCAAACTGGTCATAGTCCATTTATGCTTTATAAAATTTGATATACCAGAGATAACATGCCACAAATTTGTTAACAATTAACATTAAAAAGTGGTAGTTTTGTGTATTTTTTAAATGTCTTTTAACATTTTTCTATTTGTATAATTTGATATATTCAATGCATCACAAAAGATTTAATTAGCAATATATAATATGTTTGCTGTGAAATGTTAAATGTAATATTTCTATATAGTATCGTCGCATAAGGATATAAGATAAGAATAGCTTAAAAAATTGCGAAGTACAAAAATGAAAGTGTGAAATGAACTTCGTGTGTATTAATATTGCTAGAAAAATGTTGTTACATATGAAGATTTATAAATTATTATTATTGATGTTATTGTTTTTAATTAGTATGAACAAGAGGAGAGCGGGTGCTAGAGCACAATACAACTGAACATTAATCACTTAACTTAAAGAATTGTAGTAGATCTGCTCAGTAGGTCTTGTCCACGTTGTCGTAAGCTTTAAGTAGCTTGAGTATCATAATTATCAGACTCTCGATTGCGCACGCATGTTCGTGGCTTATCTCATGATCACAGATTTGTATGTTTGCGCGGTCAGAGTCTTCATTCCTTTCAAAGTACCGCGATCATTATTTATGACCAAGAGCTTTGCTGCAATATATTAATCCGTTTAAATTATATATAGATATATATTTTTTTTTGTGTATGTATAAAATTTCTCTTAAGACACGCGTCCAGAATAATATAATGATAATTCAATGTTTGTATAACATTTTTCTAATAATAAACGCACAATATAATAAATTTAAACGCACTGGTTGAAATACATTATTAATGTAACGGATAAAATTATTTAAACATATACATTTTTTAAATCCTATGTACACTTATAAATTATTATGAACATTAATAATAGTTCACATGTGTTATATTCAACATGTTAATATTATAGTAAAGTATTGTACCAAAAAAGTGTATAAAGTTAATTTTAGTTTCAAATCTCTCCTCATATTGAGGATAGATTTTGTAATTTCATTAAAGCTTAATAAATATTTTACATATAAAAATGTTATTTCTTGGCAAATCTATTTTCTTTCTGCATATTTTATAAATAAATATTAAATAATAATGTAAATGCATTATTTTCACAAAATGCAAACGATAAATAATTCTTTCTCTCTCTCTCTAAAAACCACACGATAAAAATACACATCAAGTTAGCCACCTCCGAGGATTTTGACCTTCACATATGTTGTCAAGGACATGACTCTGAGTAATTTTTCCTTAATAACTTAATAACTTAATCGTCGCTCATTGTTTATTTAAAAGTTATGAACAAAAAAGTTTGAGCAATTTACAAGTTTGTGTCAGTGCTAAGAGAATTAATTTGCTGATAAGTGTGCATAGATAGTACACATGTAGGCGGGGTGGGGGTGAGCCTTAATTTTTAAGTAAAAAATATAAAAAAGAGTAAATTACATTTTTATGTTTCTGTAATTGCTGTATCAAACGCAGTATTATCATATGTAATGGATACATTTCTGCCATTGTCCTGTATTATTTTTTTAGTGCTAAGAGAAGTAATTTGCTGATAGTACCGTGCATATAGACAGTACACATGTAGGCGAGGGAGGGGCTACTTAACCCTTATGATAAGATCGAACTCATATATAATCATGTCAAATTGTATATACATGAAATATGAAACATTATAATGTCAAATTGTATATGAAACATTGTAATGTTTCATATACAATTTGACATGATTATATATGAGTTCTTATAATTTATATATAAATTATATATAAAAGCATTTATCCACGTAGATTACATATATCCATATATAAACACAATACTTGTGCATTATATTTATTACACTTTTAAATTCGAATTATCCGACAGATGGCATCGGATAGGATTTGTTTCTCGTATTTAAAATTTGACGAACAGTGGTATAAGAACGGTATCAAAAGACACGGCAGCGTCTCACGCCAAGCAGCGTCAAGTTATAATATGGGATAAATCGCTTCACTTTTGATTCTATAGCTTTTGAAAAAATATACATCTTAATTTATCAATGCTTTATTATCGAAGTTAACAGTTCTTTTTTAATATACATATATTGATTATATATGGTCATATTTGATTAGGGGAAAGGAGGATACTCCCGGCCATTTTTTATTTTTTAAATTATGACTAAAGTTAAGAACATAAACATAAACGGACTACACAAAAATAATCAACAAGATATATATTAACGTAATTTAGTACAAAAAAAAAACAAAAAATATAGCAAACTTAAGAAAAAAACTACTTCAAACTTAGACTTAATTTTGGCCTCTGTAGAAAAGTGGCGGGTAGCTCCGGTCACCATAATATTTAATGACGAAATCGTTTTTTGGCAACACAAACATCACAGTTGTAGTATAAATCGGATGGATTTATATCTACACATATGCCTCATGAGCCCAGTCTTGACATTTATTGCATTGAATCCAATCCTCATCAAACGTTTCGCCACAAATGATGCATTCAGTTTTCTGATGTTCAGGACGTGGTTTAGATGTAGGATTTTTCTTTTTCAATAGGTTCTTCATATTTTTCGTGATCTTTGGCATCTTTTTAGGATCTTTGGTCTTCTCTACCAGCTCATTTTTATACGGCGATGACGTCGAAATCTGACTTTTTTGGGTCCTTCTTTTTTTTACAGTCAGTCTTTTCTTAGAGGTGTCTGGAAAAGGCGATAAAATCTTGAGAACGTCATTAACTTTTTCGTCCTGCAGTGATCCTGCAGTGAAGTGCGTGGAACTTGGTTCTATCTGCGGCAGCTTTTACACGTTCTTTTTATAAAGAAATAGACTTTCGAACAGGTGGCCGGAGCTACCCACAAAACTGGTAGCCGGTGCTACCCGACTTATTGACTTTGTTCAAAATCATTTACATTACCAAAATAGGTTAAGATTTGTTCAAGCAGAAAGAAAGACATAACATACAATAGTTTTGCAGTATGTAAATAAGGTATGTTGAGAAATGTGTTTTAATAGCAAATTAAGATATTTATATTTTCTATGTATTCTATGGTTCATGCTTCCGTAAACTAATGTAAAGGCGCCTTGATCACCTACCGCAATTGTTTGTTTCGTTGTTCACTTCCGCCTTCTTCCTCGCTAGCTCTCGCGCTGTAAAGAGACCGTTGAAACCGTTGAAACTACGTTTATAAAGTAAAGTATATTAGCCACGCATAACAGAGTCTGTTCAGTCTGTTTTGTTCCCAATCCCCATATTCCATCAGGTTATGGGCCCAGACTTTATGCGATACGAAAAGTAGCCAGAGAAACTTGTATTACTGTAACGAGATAAATCTGTGCGCGATACGCGTAATGGCGGAAATAGAAAAGTACAGGATTCCCTTGTTGGACGGAACAAACTACGACGACTGGAAATTCAGGATCGAGACTCTGCTAGTGGAATTAGAGCTCACATCCTACATTGAAGTCGAGTATACGAATTTGGTACAAATTGAGACGACTGACAACGCGGAAACACGAGCGAGGAAGCAAGCCGAGATAACCGAGCATAAGAAGAAGAACAGAAAATGTAAGTCGCAAATAATACAACGTATTGCAGACAGTCATTTAGAATATGCGAAAGGTAAAGCAACAGCGCGTGATGTGTGGCAATCGTTGGAAAATGCATTTTAAAGAAAAGGTATTGCGAGTTAGCTCTTGATACGAAAGACACTTCTTACATTGAAATTTGATTCCGGTAATGATAATCTCTCTAATCATTTTTTGAGGTTTGATAAATTAATTCGAGAACTCAAATCCAAAGGTGCTACCCTCGAAAAGTTGGATATAGTATGTCATCTTCTATTCACGATGCCGACGGAATATAATACGGTAGTAACAGCACACTGGAAACTATGTCATCAAAGCTACTGACGTTGAGCTTTGTGAAAACGAGATTACTGGATGAAGAATTGAAGCGGAATGGTAAACTTGCGTGCGAAAAGAATAAGTATAGTAATGCGTCGACAACTGCCTTTTCATCGTCTTTGCATGGATAATGGAAAAGAACATAAAACATCTTCTAAAGGCGCAGGAAATAAATTTAGTAAAAACAAATTGAAATTTACGTTTAACTGTCATAACTGCGGACTGCCTGGCCACAAGAGAGCAGACTGCCGGAAGAAAACAAAAACTAAAAATAATGAAGAAACTACGGCACAAATTGCTTCTAAAGGTGAAGATACAGTTTTCAATTTCGCTACAACTACAGAGCATGAAATACGGAATGCATCGAGCTGGTTCATAGATTCTGGTGCAACGGAACATCTAGTTAGTAGTCGTGATCAATTGTCAAACGTGGTAACACTGGAGAAACCGGTGAAGATAAACGTCGCTAAATTTGGCAGTTACTTACGAGCAGAACAAACCGGAGAAATCAACGTTGTGAGCAACGTGAATGGGAAAAAGATTCCTATAAAGATAAAAGACGTACTCTTTGTACAAGGATTGATTTACAATCTAATATCCGTGCGTAAATTAGAGATAAACGGATACAAAGTACTATTTGCTAACGAAAGAGGAATAATCAAGAAGCGAGACACGACGGTGGCGGTCGCAAACAGGGAGAATACGCAGTTGTATGCACTAAATCTGGAACATGTAGGAACGGTGAATGCTTGTACTGCTGCAACAGATCTGAAAATTTGGCACAGGAGGTTCGGACATCTGAACTATGAGAGCATCAGGAAGGTCTTGGATCAAAATAATAAAACAAGGACGGATGCATCACAACAGTCGATAGAAAAATGTCAGGTGTGTATTGAAGAAAAACAGACCAAATTGCCACACGATCAACATCGGATTCGGGCAAAGAGACCACTTCAGCTGATAGCGACATAATGGGACCAATAAATCTAATATCTTACGATAGGAAGAGGTACGTATTGACATTTGTCGATAATTACACGCACTTTACCGTTGCATATACTATTAAGTCTAAAACTGAAGTAATAAATGGTTTAAAAAATACGAAGCAATGGTAGTAGCATATTTCAATTCAAAAATAAGTCGTTTCAGATGTGACAATGGACGCGAATACATATCTAACGAGATAAAGGAATACTTCGAAGAGAAGGGAATACAATTTGAATTCACTATCAGATATACGCCTCAACAGAACGGAGTCGCTGAGAGGATGAATAGGACTGTCATTGAAAGAGCGAGATGCATGATCTTGGGTTCTAAACTTGGTAAAGAACTCTGGTCCGAAGCTGTATTGGCAGCTGTATATCTTGTCAACAGAAGTACGACATCCGCTTTGAATGGAGGTGTACTTGCGTACTTGTGGTTCGATGAGCCAGTAAACACCAAGAAATTGAAAGTTTTCAGTTGTGTTGCCTATCTACGCATACCAAAAGAACTTGTAGCTGGAAAATTTGATTCCAGATCAAAGAAAAGTTACTTCGGAGATATTGTCCTAATGGATACAAACTCTGGTGTCCTGAAGAGAGGAAAATTCTGTTTGGAAAAGACGTTATATTTGATGAGACGAAATTCACCTTTGTTGATTTGACGAGTGAAGATTGGATTCCGAATACTGTTGGACAACAAACAGATTCTATTGCTGATACACAAGAAAACATTGATGTAAACGAAACACCGCAAATTAAAACACCTCAAACGACTGAATCATCTGAAGACAAGTTTGAAGATGCAGATGGAACTCCGACACGAGCTAACGGAAATCGAGATAGTGGAAATAAAGGATGTACACTTCGAAGATGAGAGAGAGAGAAAAAACCGAAATATTTGGAAGACTATGCGGTCTTAGCGTTGCACGCGGAATCATTTGTAGAAAATGTACCGGAAACGTTCGAAGATATTCAAGAAAAAAGAGATAAAGAAGAATGGGAAGGTGCAATACAGGAGGAGATAGATGCTTTAATAAAAAATGATACTTGGGAAGTAGTCGAGCTTCCACCTGGAAAACGAGCACTCAACTGCAAATGGATATTCAAAGTCATACGCAATAGCAACGGAGAAATTGACCGTTATAAGGCGCGGTAGTAGTAAAAGGCAACGAACAGCGGTGTGGATACGACTACAAGAAAACTTATGCACCAGTTGCAAGACTGACAACTTTCAAGACTATGCTAGCAATCATCAATGAAAGGAACTTACATGCTTGTCAACTGGATGTGAAGAATGCCTTTCTACATGGTCGAATTAAGGAGGAGATTTACATGAAGCCACCCGTAGGATTTCAAGTCTGTGGAAACAAGGTGTGCAAGTTGAAGAAGGCCCTATATGGCCTGAAACAGGCTCCGCGGTCATGGAATGAGACTTTCGACACGGAAATAAAAGATCAGGGTTTTCAACAGGCGGAAACAGATAAATGCTTGTATGTGAAGGATACAGAAGAAGGAAAAGTTTACCTGCTTCTTTATGTTGACGATATTATCATTGCAGGAAATAATCTCAGAGAAATAGAGAAACTGAAAGACAAGTTAAAGAAACGTTTCTGTATGAAAGATCTTGGCGATTTACACTCATTTCTTGGAATAAATATAGTCAGAACGGAAAACGAAATACGACTCAGTCAACCTGGTTATCTGCAGAATCTGTTAACTCGCTTTGGGATGTGTTAGTTATACATTGAAAAGTAATCAGACATTGCTAAAGTCTACATACTACATGGTTCAAGTTTATTTTGTTTTTTATTATTCTTTGAGATAAGGCCCATATTTCTTTCTTTACATTCGATACTTAATTCGATATTCTGTTCGATATTCAAATCGATACTCTCGTTGAGACTCTCTTCTTTATCCGCTGTATTGTAAGAGGTAACACATTAAAGAGCTTGTAATTTTCATTGTCATTCTGGCCTTCATTATTGGGACTACACGTCATATCTCATCAGGTTATGGGCCCAGGTGCATTTAGACTTGTAGCAAAAGCTTGGAAGTCAAAGTTGCGCGTATTATTGCCCAAAGGATATTCTGAGGTTAGGAAGTTTTTCTTTCTCGATATATATTCAGATAGTTCTTTATACTAAAAATGAATTCGGGAAGTACGTCTCAATCCCCTGTTGTTGTCGGTGGTGGATATACACTAGAAAGGTTAGAAGGTACCAAGAATTATAACAACTGGAAATTTACAATGAAGATGTCTTTGATTATGGATGGACTTTGGAACTGCGTCTTAGGTACAGATAACGATGCAATCCGAGATCAAAGAGCTCTTGCGAAGATTTGTCTAAATGTTCAGTCTGCATGCTACGCCTATGTGAGAGAAGCAAATACGTCAAAGCAAGCGTGGGATAACCTACAAGCGGCATTTGAAGGCAAAAGTTTATGCCGAAGATTAAGTCTCTTACGTAGACTGCTTCGAACCAAATATGAAGATTTTAAATCTATGGATGACTATATGTCAGTGGATTGGTTTCACTAGTGCAACAGCTTGCGGATATTGGGCATAAGGTAAATGACGAAGAAGTTGCGATGCTTTTACTAGGAGGTCTTCCTGCAGAATTTGATCCATTGGTAATGGGAATAGAAGTCACTCATGAAAGATTTGTCTACTGAAATGGTAAAAGCAAGATTATTATCAGAAGACTATCGAAGAGTAAGTACAGAAATGGATACTAACAACGATGCTGCATTTGCTGCGATGAAAAACCCAGTTAAAGACGCTAGTCAAATGAAGCAAATAACCTGTTACAAATGTAGAAAAGAAGGTCATATTAAGCTAAAATGTCCTCAACTGAAGAAAGAAAAGAAGAAGCAGGATAAGAAGAACTTCTCTAAGAAGACTGAGGACAAGCTATTGTTAGCAGCAAGTTTTGCAATTGGCAATTTTGACAAAAATGGTTGGTATATTGATTCAGGCTGTACGACGTACATAAGCATGAGAGATGATTGGTTTTCCAAATGTTCAAACGATGAATCAAAAGAGATTGTTATTGCAAATAATCAAAAGCTACATAGCAGAGGAACAGGTGAGATTAAAGTTAGTCTAAAAAATAATACTGAAAGGATTATTACAGACGTCATGTACCGGGTGCGAGAAAAGTCTGGAAACGGTCAAATATCTCGAAAACAAAACGTTTCTGAGAAAAATGTTTCGAACCAAAGTTGTAGGGTTTTAAAAGTTCTATTCAATGATCATATCCGTTTGACCTTGAGTGGAGGCGTCAAGGCGAGGTCAAGACCAACCTAATTTTTTTAAATGGAACACCCCATTTTTTATGACACAGTATTAAAGGTGGCAGCGAAACGTTTCCAAAACACTACTTGAAAATCTATTTTCGTTGAGAATTGCCTGAGTTATGAGCTTTAGAATTTACGGTGCCGCCAGCATTAGTATTATCCAGGATGTACCGCGTGGAGGTTGCATGGTCGGACTTTACACCCCTGTGTGTGTGTGTGTGTGTGTTTGGGTTAGAGGGTTTGGAGTCATTAAATACTGCGAGAGTGACGAACCGCGGGGTCCTTATCTCTGCTGACACACACACACACACACACACACACACACACACACACACACACACA